CCCGGGCATCCTTCAAGTACATCTTTGATGACTCAGATTATTTCACTTGATTTGACCTTTCTGTTGTTAAATAGGTACATCTCTGTTTTAGAGCTTCCCTTTCTATGTGCATTTTCTCAGATGCTGGAAAGATACTCACATTTTCCATACAGATGACTCTGCAATTTGTATGACTCTGCTCATTTTATTGAACGACTTCTCTAAAATATTTACTTTAATGCTATTTTTATTTACTCTTAACAACTCCTCATCTTATTCTGTTCCCATTTTACACAGCCAGAGCCTTTCAACCCACTATGTTTTCCTACCTTATTTTTAATCAATGTGTTTATGCTTTATGCTTTCCTGAATTTTATTCAAAGTGCACCTCGGATCTTTTTTTTTTAAGACAGTGTCACTCTCTTGCCTGCGCTAGAGTGCCGTGGCGTCGGCCAAGCTCACAGCAGCCTCAAACTCCTGGGCTCAAGCGATCCTCTTGCCTCAACCTCCCAAGTAGCTGGGACTACAGGCATGCACCACCACGCCCCGCTAATTTTTCTATTTTTAGAAATAGAAAAGAGCAGAGTCTCGCTCTTTCTCAGGCTGGTCTCAAACTCCTGACCTCAAGCGATCCTCCCGCCTCGGCCTCCCAGAGTGCTGGGAATATAGGCGTGAGCCACCTCACCCGGCCACACACCTGAGAGCTTTTCCAAACTCGTCTCTTGTTTCCTGCAATAACTCTTTCTCACAAGTACGCTCTTCCTCTCCCCTTGAGAGCAATGCCTTCACTTTAAGTTGAAAACTCTCTCTTTGCAAGACTCATGCTGGCTTTATTCTTCTCTGAGGATTCAACCTTCACCAAGAGGCGGGCTCTCCCGCCAGATGGTCCCTCAGCAATGGGTGGTCTCTTTGGGTTGCCTTCACCATCTACCCAGTTAACATCAGCATTCCTTTCTTAACACAGCGACTGCCCTGTGAGTTGTATTTAACTCGCACTCGTTTTGGGCCCGGGGCCTTGTGAAGCGCATGTAACTCACACGTCTCTTCGCCTTGGGACCCACGAGAACTGTTTTTCAAGTTGCATCTAACTCACGCGCACAAAACAATAAAAAAAATAAATTTTTCGTTACATTAGAAAGGATCATTTTGTTTTCGAAGCTTTTATTCTATTTTCATGATAAAAAACCATGGCCCCAAGGAAAAAAACCTTTTCACTGAGTGTTGTATGAAAATGCAGAACTCTGGGGAAAGTTCGCAAGACAACAAGCAAGTAAAAACCTAGTACGGAAAGGAAACAATTGTTGTAAACATATTTACAAAGCTATGCATATTTAAAGGAATCCGTATTACTCAATATCCTTACTTAATAAAGGATAGAGAGATATCAGATAACACACAGAAGGAAGATAAAATGCAGGGATGGTTATATATATATTTTTTTTCCTGACTGAGAATTCAGGCAAGAGGCATTAGATAATAAAGTGTAAAATCCACATCTTAGGTTTCCTGGTAACGATTCTGTTTATAACGACCATTTCTAGTGTGGCCATCCCTGTGTTAAACCTCAAACCCGGGGAGCTGCCCAAGCTAACTGTTCACGTCACTCGTGTAGTTATTCCTGCAGGGACAGGGCAGGACAGCCCTGCCGGGTGAAGTCCCAGCTCTTTCCTCTGCGGAATGAATCTGTCCGCCCAGGTGTGAGCCACTGTCACTCCCTGGTGCAGCTTCCTCTCCTGGTACCGCCTCTACTAACCCTGACCGGGACAGCCCCTTCCCGGAACGGCCGTCCCCGCGCCCTAGCTCAACCTCCCGAGCCGCCTGTCTGGGGGATTCCGCAGAGCACCCGCGTTTCCGTCCTCAGCGCGCTGTTCGCTCTCAAAGCCACCGCCCAGAACGTTCTTAGGAAAACAACCCAACAGAGAGGCTGCCTCTCCTCTCCCCTCACGCTGCCTGTCACCTCCAAAACCATCTCCTCTGACCTCCCAGGGGGAGAAAGGCCAGCCCCCGTTCTGTGATCACCCTGCCCAGGAACGAACTCACCAACAGGGCTTTCCTCAAATTCGCTCAACCTACAACCACCAAGAGAACCAAAGTCACGCCGCCCGGGAACCTGCGACTGCCGCCAAGATGCAGGCGTTTGGTCCCGACTCCTCGAAGCTCTGCTGCTCCGAAAGTGGGCGCCCTGGACAACACCCTGCCCTCACCTCCTCACCACATCCGCCCACATCTGCACTGAGGCCACAGAGAAGTGCCACCTGCCCCACTCCCGCCCTGCTGTGGGGCTCTCCTGGCTCACGTCTCTGGCGAATTTATGAACCATCTAGAGGGGACAGACAAACCAGACGCAAGCTCCTCTCTCTGCGCACCGTCTTGCAATTACGGCCGACGCTCTTCCCTGGAAGACCCCTGTCCCCAAGTGGGGACCCAAACGCCTTCCCTGGGCTCCCAGCCTGGGGAGAGAGATCCCAACTCCACAGAAGCAACAACCCCAGGTCCGACACTCACACCGCTAAACCCCGGCTCTTCTCCCGTCTGTCCTCCCATCCGCCACCTGCAAGAGGATTCTCTTTCTTAGGAAAAGAAGAAGAAAAGAGAAGAAGAACACCCTATTTCTTCCTCTCCCAACCAAGAGTGTAGCCGTTTACCTGGACGGCTGAACCGAGGTGCCGCCGTTCTACCTGGGAGCATCCGGAGGAGATAAATCATTTTCTGAGCGAGCTATCGAAATGCACGCTATCCCTGCAAAATGCTGGCTCATGTCTCTCTCTCTTAAAAGCGCACCTCGATGTTTTTTTTTTGTTTTTTTTTTTTAGACAGAAGTGTTGCTCTGTCGCCCGGGCTGGAGTGCCGTGGCGTCAGCCTCGCTCACAGCAGCCTCAGACCCCTGGGCTCAAGCGATCCTCCTGCCTCAGCCTCCTCCCGAGTAGCTGGGACTACAGGCACGCGCCACCACACGCCTGGGCCAGGCGTTCATGCATGATCCACTCTACAGAACTGGCACACCGAGGGACTTCAGTGTCTGTGCATGGATGTACCGTGTACAAGCGCAGACATCCTTACGGACCTCAGTGTGGAGTGTCCACGGGGCTCTCGCTCAGGCTGTATGGGGTGATTTCCATCCAAGCCACACGCAGCCACTGGATCCTAAACCCCCGGCCCCCAAACTGACCCAGTTTCCTTGTCACCTTCCCAGGAAATAAGCCCGGCTTATTTCCCAGAGCTCAAGCCGGGCTCTGTGCATGCTCTCCCCACCCGCCCGTGCCTCCACCCTGCTCCCGCCGGCCCGCACGCCCGCCCGATTTAGCAGGGTCCGACGCTGTTAGCACTCACTACCTCGCGTCACCGGTAGCGGGGGCAAAAGTGCAGCGCTGAAGCACAAGAGACGTGGTGTGGACTGGGTCTTGGCAATCCTGCACCTGCCCAGGGGGTCTAGGAAAACATGCAAGCACAGCGGGCAGCCGTGCAGGAGTAGGGAGTGGTGAATGAGCGGGCATTGTGTCTATCTTGGTGCTGCCCATGGGCACTGCCGTCGGGCCGTCCCGGCTCTGGGGGCCCAGGGTCCCTGGCCGGTGTGGACAGCCGCTCTGTCCTTGGCACTTGGGCAGATGTCCCAGATCTGTCACACACACACACACACACACATACACACACACACACACACACACACACACACACACACACATGCACGCACACACACTACCATGTTTCCCGTTCTGCCTGGCTGGCATCCCCTCCTTCCCCCACTGATATCCAGCCATTCCTGTGCATACAAACCAAGACGCAGTCTTTTGCCCATCGACAGTGTGTTTCTCAGATTGTGAAAGAGAGGCTCATTCAAAAATACTTGCAGCCGGGCGCGGTGGCTCACGCCTGTGATCCCAGCACTCTGGGAGGCTGAGCCGGGAGGATCGCTTGAGCTCGGGAGTTTGAGACCAGCCTGAGCAAGCGCGAGGCCCCGTCTCCACTGGAAATAGAAAAATTAGCCGGGCGTAGTGGCGCATGCACCTATAGTCCCAGCTACTCGGGAGGCTGAGGAAGGAGGATCCTTTGAACCCAAGAATATGAGGCTGCAGTGAGCTTTGATGACACCATTGTACTCTAGCCTGAGTGACAGAGCAAGGCTCTGTAAGAAAGAAAGAAAAGAGAGGAGAGAGAGAAAGAAAGAAAAGAAGAAAGAAGAAAGAAAGAGAAGAAGAGAAGAGAAGAGAGAGGAGAGAGAGAGAAGAAAGAAAAAGGAAAGGAAAGAAAAAGGAAAGAAGGAAAGGAAAGGAAAGGAAAGAAAGGAAAGAAAGAAAGAAAGGAAAGAAAGAAAGAAAGAAAAGAAAAGGAAAGGAGAGAGAGGAGAGGAGAGAGAGGAGAGAGAAGAGAAGAGAAGAGAAGAGAAGAGAAGAGAAGAGAAGAGAAGAGAAGAGAAGAGAAGAGAAGAGAAGAGAAGAGAAGAGAAGAGAAACAAAGAGCTATACCTCAAACCTAGACATCCGGGAGACAGGACAGCAGAACACCCATGCACTGCCACCCAGAGATACCCATACGCATTCACATTTTATTGAAAACCTTTAACAGAAAGACATGCATCCAAGAGGAAACAGAAACTGGCTCTGTCTATTAGAAGATGCTACCTTCCAACCCGGATATGAAATTCTATCACTCTCAACTTAATTGAATGGCAGCTGCCTTTCAACGTTTTCTTTTTTTTTTTTTCCTTCCTCGCTCAGAAAAAAAAAATTGACTTTTGAGTTCCCAAAATGGAGAGAATGAACAGTAACCGTGAACAATTATTGTTTTTTTAGGTGTCCCGAAGCCGGTCCCACTCCGTGGTGACAGGTGTGTCTCTGCTTTCATCGCGATTTGAAAGCACTTTACAGGTGTCCGGCGCCTGCCACGGGGGCTGTCCAGGCTTGCAAAGGAAGGCGGCCAGTCATTAGGGCGCTTCCTCAGACCCCAGGAAATACAGGTGCCCGTCCTTCTGCCGGGGGGTTGGGGGGAGACCACGGGGCGCAGGTGGCACCTGCAGGTCTTACCTGAGCGGGCCGGACACCTGCGGCGTGATCAGCACCACCAGCCTCCTGGTCAGTCTGTGGCTCCTGAGCGACTGCCCCAGCACCAGGGCTCCCTGGCAGTAGATGTCGTTGGTGGCCAGGGTGACAAAGGCTTGGTCGACCACTGCGAAAATCGATGGAAACACCGGAGTTACACTCCCCAGGGACTCAGGAGAAGATGGGGCCAGACAGAGGACACCTTATGTCCTCTGTCAAGAGTCATCAATCGTACTGAGCACACGACGCAACACTCCAAAACGTTCCCAGGTGACGCATCATACATCACACACACCCTTTCGTGCGAACGAAGCAAAACAGAAGAACGCTTTCAGAAAGGGAGATTTGCATGACCCAGCTGCAGGGTTTTGCCCGGGGCCACGCATCATGTAACAGGTATGTTACGGAGTGTCAGTGTGAGTTGCCTGCACACCACGTGCCTCCCTGGAGGAAGAGAGGTGAGTTACATACGCTTCACGAGGCCCCGGGCTCAAAGCCAGCGTGAGTTAAATACAACTCACGTGGCGGTTAATGTGCTGAATTCTGCACACGCCAGTTGTTTAAATGACATTGACTCAAGGATGTAGGAGGCGGCCGTGGAGATGGAAGCAGAAAAGCTATATTGTTTCATCCACCAAAATGTTCTCAGTTTCCTAACGTCTCAGTAGGAGAGAGAGAGAAACTATCTACCAATCCATCACCTATGTATCTATCATCCATCTATCCATCTATCTATATCTACCCATCATCTATTAATTATCTATGTATCTATCATCTGTCTATATATATTTTGAGACAGAGTCTCACTCTGTTGCCCAGGCTAGAGTGCTGTGGCATCAGCCTAGCTCACAGCAACCTCACACTCCTGGGCTCAAGTGATCCTCCTGCCTCAGCCTCTTGAGTAGCTGGGACTACAGGCATGTGCCACCATGCCCGGCTAATCTTTTCTATATATTTTTAGCTGGCCAATTAATTTCTTTCTATTTTTAGTAGAGACGGCGTCTCGCTCTTGCTCAGGCTGGTTTTGAACTCCTGAGCTTGAGCGATCCACCTGCCTCGGCCTCTCAGAGTGCTAGGATTACAGGCGTGAGCCACCGCGCTGGCCCATGCTTGCTTTGACCAATGCAGATTCATGATGAAAATGTGAAAGGGGAATCTTCCAAGGAAAGATAGAGGTTGGGAGGCTCCCAGTTTCCCCTTCCCTGCCCCTGAGATAAAAGGAGGATGAACTATGAAGTGTGCCAAGGAATGCCAGTGTGACCCCCAGCCACCAGCGAGGCAGGAGAAAGCCCTCTGCCTACAGGAGATTTCTGCAGATGTCTGGCTACAGAGGGAGCAAGGTAGCTCTTGGCACATGTAAAGGAGATCCCCACTCCAGGACCAGCAAGATGACCAGCCCAGCCAGCCTGTGTCCACCCCGCTTGGACCCACATCACAAGAACAGCAGTGGACAAGAGGCTGGAGACTGGAGAATCCCCTGAAATTCTGCGGCATTCTCCAAAGTCAAATATTCCCATACCCAGAAGGATAAAAAAAAAAAAGACAGTAAGATCTACTCTAAAGGAAATGAAAGGTCTCAGAAAAATTCACCACCATTAAGAAGTGGAATTCCTAACTTGTAACAGAACCTTGACAGATTCTGACAAGTCTGCAACCTTTGCCTGCAGGCAGAGCTCAACGGCATTACTCATCTTTACATGCGTAGATGGAAAGGATCAGCAAATAGTTGTAAAACACCTTCCACAGAGAAGAGAGAACCGAAAAGTTATGGGGAAGTGTGGGAAGAACTCGAGAAGCACAAGACATTCCAGGGAACAGAAATTCAAGGAATAAACAAACGATAGACATTTAAAAACTCCAACTGCAGTGATCAGCATTCTTCCAAGAGACTGGGTGAAAAAATATACATCTTTAAACCAAGAATCAAATACTGTAGATAAAGAACAGTCCACGGATACAAAATAGCTCTTAGAAATTAAAAATAGGATTTACTGACATGAAAATGGTATCACAAAAGGTTTGGAAAATGTCACCGAGGAAATCTCTCAGAAAGTAGAATAAAACAACAAATGAAAGTTCTGAGAGAGCTCAAAACCTACGGGATTAATTCGGGAGGTTCACCAACATGGCTTCTGGAATAAGAGAACAGAGGGAAAAAAAAAAAAAAGAAGAAAGAAAAGTTTTCAAAGAAATTAAACAGGAATTTTTCTTAACAGCAGAAAGTCGAAATCTTCAGATTTTAAAAAGCCCACAGAGTATGCAGAATAAACAACAAACAGTCTTCATCTTGAGTATATTTTTTATGAAATTTCAAAATACCAAAAATAAGATGAATATCCTAAAAGCTCCAAAAAAATAAAAAAAAATCCAGGGTAGTCCTACAAAGGATGAGGGTCAGACTTCTTATCATCAACAGTGTCTACTAAGGCAAAGCATCATACCTAGGTTCTGACCAAAATGGTCTTCATCCTAAAATTTTATACCCAGACCAAATAGCACAGCCCCTGCACATTCAATGACCACACACAAATTTTATACCCAGACCAAATAGCACAGCCCCTGCACATTCACTAAACACACACTATTTCTTAGGCAGGTACTTGAGTATGTGTTCCATATGGAATATGGGCTTGTGTTCATTTAATTTAAATATATATGTGCATGTGTGTTTAAATGCTACAGTAGATGGCAAAGTAAAAACTAAGATAAATCAACATATATACATTATAACGTGTGTATAGAGATATGTACACGTTATGAAGGGAATCATGCTCAACATAATATTGAACTGAAAACAAAGTGCTATTTACAATTTTTAGTCTTCATTGGCTGTATTCTAACTTTCATATAATCTCCAATTTACGGACTGTTGAAATCCGATTAATACTGTTTAAAGATGATTTGAATGAAAGAGAGGTGAGGTAATGAAGTTCATCGTTTAGAAAATATGAACAATATATTTATATTGTTTTCCTTTCTGTCTATATAATAATATAGAACTATGAAGTGTATGTCTATATAATAATATAGACAAAAGGGAAACAACCCCAGAGGGGTGGGCTTCAGTTCTGAGATTTCTTCCTGGGCTGAGTGTTCTGTCTCTACCATTTTGAGACTCTCAGAGGAATCCATGTCCCTGTGTAGCTTGAGTCTGAGAAGGAGCTTAAGTCACAGTCCAAAGGCCAGGCTCCTGTAGGTTCCTCCTGACACAGGAGTCTGAGGTCAGACCATGCTAGCAAGACGGCTGGCCCTACAAGAATGAGCCCTGCAGTATATCTATCCTGGTGACCCAGTAAGGAGGGATGCCCCTGCCTCCAATCCAACCTTCTCACCTTGCAAAACTAACATGAGGTCAGTCTTAACAGCCAGGCACACCAGAACATGCGGCAAAGTGGGTCTTTCCACCAACCACGCCAATTCTCCACCGCCTTAGCATCCTCTGTTCCACCCTGCAGATTGTGACCCTGCTTTTCTGTCTTCTTTGTTCTTATGACAACATCCTTTCTCCCTGACACATGGTGACATCATGGGCTGCCCTGATAAACCAGCCTATCGCGAAGGGTGTCCCCACTGGCTGCAAATTAAAGTCCAGTCCACACTGCCGGTCATTTCGTGTCCTGAACACTTGGGTGCCATGCTCAACCAGACGCCTCTGGGTCCTCCTTTGGGGATGCTATCATCCCCTTAGTTCTCCTGGGACTTCCTCCCCTCCCAGGCACGTGGTGGCTGCTGGAATGACCACCCATCACTTGGAGACCTTCTTGCAAATCTTTCCTCCTCTCGTCCAGCTGTGGGGGCTCCAACTGTGCCTTGGGGTGCAGACACATCACTCCACTCTCTGCCCGTGTTTTGTTGTGGCCTCATCTCTGTTTCTGTCTGTGTCTCCTCTTCTTATAAAGACACCTGCTGTTGGCTTTAGGGTCCACGCTACATTCAAAGCAATCTCACCTCGAGATCCTTAACTAGTTACATCTGCGAAGACCTTATTTCCAAATAAACACCCACTCACAGCTTCTAAAGAGACATAAGCTCTGGGGGGGGGAATTTACTTAAACCCAGTCTGCAACTACTCTCCCAGGCATCTCTCGTGCACGTGGCCCCGTGCAAGGTGTGGAGCCCCAGGACTGACAAGGCACAATCTCTGTCCTCAGGAGCCTGCGGAACAGCAGCCCTAATGAATGAATGGTTTCAGCACCCCAACGCACTTGCTCTAGGAAAGGAAGCAAGTGCTCTGGCCAGCGGACGTTCTGAAAGGCGAACAATGAAAGCACAGGGCTGAAAGCCCAGGGAGATCTTATCAATCGACCTGCCAATGGATCAATAAACACGAATCAATACGGCTCCCATCTATGCAGGGATGTCTAGACCTGGTGGGTGCACACATTTCCCATCACGAATGCCCATCCCAACTCTGAAATGCACTTCAATGACCTCAATCAATCAATCAATCAATCAATCAATCAAACCAGGGTTTTACGATTTAAGTAACTATCCCCTCTGACTCCAAAGCCCACAGAAGCCCTCAAAAGAATGACTCCCTCCTGCCTCAAACAATAAACCAAACTAAAAATAAGAAAGCAAGGACAGAGGAGGCAACTTGCCAAAGAAAAATCCGGGAGCTGAGGTGAAGGGTGGACGTCAGCAGTTGGGTGCAGCAGCCTCTGGGCAGGACAAACCCGCCCAGCCTGGCCGGAGCCCGAGAACAAGGGTGGGTGTGCAGACACGGGGCCAGGGGAGGAGGGCCATGAAAGTGACATTCAGAATTTTTCTTTTATCTTGAGAGTTACCAGGAGCTCTTTGAGGGTCCCAAGCCCTGAAAGAAGGTCCGGTTCGCATTGTAGAAACATCCCTCTGGCTGCCCGGAGAGGGAGAAGATCTAGCTGAATTGGCCCAAAGCGAGGAACTGGGGAAGACACAAGAAAAATGCCAAAGTGCTCAATAATGGGCAACCCTGTGCGGTGGGGTTGTAGCTCTTCATGGGGTCATAATGGAACCGTTACGATTGACAGGTGTTATGGGCTGAGTATGACACCTCCCCAAATTCCCATGCTAAAGTCCTAGCCCCCCGTATCTCAGAAAGTGCCTGTATTTGGAGATGGGTCTTTAAAGAGGTCAATTAAGGTAAACTGAGGTCACTAGGGTGAGCCCTGATCCAACAGGACTGGTGTCCTTATAGGAAGAGGAGACAAGGACACAGACAGGCACAGAGGGACGACCTCTGTGAGGACACAGGGAGGAGACGGTGTCTACACGCCCAGGAGAGAGGACCCAGAAGGAACCAGCCCTGAGACACCTGGATCTGGGAACTTCCAGCTTCCAGGACATGAGAGAACAAACGTCATTTGTCCAAGCCACCCTGTCTGTGGGACTCTGTTATGCCAGCCTGAAACTCAGGACCCAATGACACTTGGAAGTTTAACTTGACATTCAACAACCCTCTGCAGGCTAGGAAACTTCTTTCTCCTACTGAGCTACATTTCCACCAGTATAATCATCTATTTATGGTGTATGTAAGCAATTTGCATTAGATCCTTCTCAAAAAGGGGGGAAAAAAAATCCCAGCAGAGCTACAAGAAAAGTTGATTGATTTTTTTTTTTTTTTTTCAGTTTGGATATTCCTAAAAAGGGCATTAAAGTATTTCTATTAATAACTGGATGGTCACACAGAGGCATGAAAAATATCTCACTGGATCATTTTCTGCTTACTCATGTGTTCTTTCAGTGCTCAGAGGCACACCTGGATTTGTGTGGCTACAGAAACCGACACCTACTTAGCTCAAAGAGGCTTCAGTCATTGCTGGTAAAATGGGCCACCGTGGAAGAGTCGTAAAACCGGAGACCAGAGAAATGACGTATTCAGCCATTCCACGTTTCCCACCCACTGAGTCTGGGCGCCTGGGCAACATGTGTAGGGTTAAAAAAAAACAATGTTTCAGGCACGTAGAAGCCACGAGTCCCTGAGACCAGGCATAATTTTGTGGTCCCCAAGTGACACGCTTCACCTGGGAGGTCTTGGGGGCCCCCCTGATGGCTGAGGCATGGAGAAGGGAGGAAGGTCGCCCACAGATAGATGAGCATCAAAGTTCATGAGGACAGGTGATTTTTTTCCAAAAGCTTCCTGCTTTACGGGGAGGGGAGAGAGGGAGAGAGAGAGAGAGAGAGAGAGAGAGAGAGAGAGAGAGAGACAGACAGACAGACACGGGGTGTAGACGGATTATTGATGGCACCAACACAAAGACAAGATCGCACCACTGGGCACGAGATATCTCCCTCTAGCCACAAGGGCCCCAGCACTCAAAAAAATCTCACTCTGGTTAAAAAAAGGTGCAGCCCTGAAAGTTGGCCACTGCCGGCCCATGCACGGGAAGCTGCGAAATCCACCTAAAACGCAAAGGCAGACCAGTGGTTTTTAGTGCACCAACGGATGAAAAATGGATCGGTCCGTGTTGAGCTTCCACACTGCCTTGTCTTGAAGGAACTGCACGTGATCAAGTTTTGCTGTGGCACCAAAGGACATCCCCAATTACCCAAGGAGGGAGTCTCCACTTATCGTGTCCCCAGGGTGGTGACTTTTAGCATCTGCCCCGAGCGGGTAAACGGAAGAAAATCTGTTGCTTGTACCCCAGCCCCGAGCCAAGAAAGCAGACATTCTGCCCAAAACCTCGTCCAGCCTGGAGACGGTGGCTCAGCATTTTATAACGTCTGCCAGAAATGTTTATTCCTACCCGTCCGCTGCCTGCCTGCTTGTTTGCACTAAACCCATCTTCCAAACACCCACCAAAATAACACTGGTGGCTTCCCCGTTGGTCCCTCTCTCTCTCTACTCAAAGGTGCTGTTTGTTTTCTGCAAAGAGTTGGATCTCCCCCTTCTAGCACATTCCCAGGCTGACCAAGATGTGTCCGACTGTCCTCCGTGAATGCTGCCATTATGCAGACCCTAGCCGCCTTGGGGAAACATGCGGTTTTCTCTTTGCAGAGCTCCAAACCTGTCCCCGAGACAGAGAATCTTTTCTGCGGTTCCTCAGAGCAGAATTTTTACAGCGTGCCTCCCGAAAACAGCCCTTAGTACCCCTGCCCGGACCGTTTTCCTTTCTGAGGCCGGAATGGGGGGAAACGGAACAGACACAGCTCCGGGAAGGACCAACTCCCTCCTCCGAATAAAAGAGTAATCTGTTTTGTTTGTTTGTTTCTAAACATGCTCATGAATGATTTGAGTCTGCTCTGGTACAACAAGAGGGGGTGTCTTAATGATTAAAAACAAAACAAAACAAAGCAAAGCAGGACTAGTATCTTTCCTGTGGGTTGGGGTTACAATTTATCATCACACTCGCAAGTCAACTCTCCAAATCTGAAGTCCCAAGACAGGGGGAATCAGGCCTTGCCTGAAGTCCCTGTGGGGCCATCTGCTTCCTGGAGGATTAAGGATCTTTATTAGGGGAGGGGAAGAAAGAAAGAAATTAAGTTCACGGTCTGAACTGCAGAGACTCAAAAGCTCTGTCTCCCCAGAGTTTGGGGGGTGCCTGAAGAGTACAGACTTGGTTCCAGGCGTCTCCCAGGCAGTAAGAATCCCAGACAGCCCATTGAAACTCCCAGGGCTACATTCTACAGAAGGAAAATTGAGAAATCCCTGCCCCCCTTCACGTGCTATAAATAACCCCTGTCCCAACTGCTGGGACCCTCCCTGGTCTCCACCAGCCACGCGGGGCGCCAGCCCCTCCCACCCCTAAGAAAAGACTTGGCCCAGATGGCGACTTCTGGGTTCGGGACAATTGCGACGTCAGAGTTGGGGGTTGGAGGGGTCCCGGGGGGGGGTCTCCCCAGCGCAGACCAATGTCACCAGAGACACTGGGCTCAGGCAGGTTGAAAGCACAGGGGGCCTTGGCATACTCACCCGACATGGTCCGAGTCGCTGGGCGCAGGGGGCCGGCGTGCGCCCAGGCGCAGTGGGTAGATCCTCCAGGCCGCCACGCGCCCGCAGAGCAGAGGCGCCGCCGTCTCGCGCGGACCCGTGGGGACTTCAGGCCTGTGGGCGGCAGCGCGAAGCTCCTGACTCCCTCGGCTGCGGCCCCTGCCGCCGTCCCCCACCCCCCAGCCCCTTACGCGCCCCGTGGCACCTGCGCCCCGGCCAGCCCCGCCACCCCCACGCCCTGCACCTCTTCCCCTGCGCTTTGGGGCAGCCTCTGCCTGCCCCCCGCCCAAGACCCTGCCGCGCCCCGTAGCTCCTCTGAGTCCCCGGCATCCTCGGTCCCGACCCTGGGCCGTCGTCCCCTGCTCCACTCCCGTTCCCCCACCCCGGCCCCCAAGCCTCCCCAGCGTTCCGGCCGCCTCCACCCGGTCCCGCGTCCCTCCCCCAGGCCCCGCACCTCCTCCGCGCTCCGGCAGCCTCGGCCCGGGGCCGGCGCCCCTGCCCCCAGCCCTCCGGCCCCCTGCGCCCCCCACGCACCTCCTGGGCTCTCCCGCAGCCTCTGCCCCCGCCCGGCGCTGGCGGCCCCGCGGCCCGCGATTGGCCCCTCTCCGGAAGCCAGGCCCCGCCTGCGCCCAGTGGCCGCGGGCCCGGGTCCCCGCCGCCTCCGCGCTGCAGCCCCCGCGCGCAGCCCCGGCCACCCGCCCAGGAGAGAGGCCGAGCCTGGCACCCCACCCGGGGCCGCCCCAGGGCCCGCGCCCCGCCCCGCGCCGGCCCGGCCCCCTCCCCGTGGAATCCGGCAGCTCGCGGTTTCTAGGTTTGGACACTTAACCTTTAATCAGCCAGCCCCAAAGTAAATGTTTGCCGTGGCTGCAAGGGCCCGGGCCCAAGGCCAGCGCGCAGCCCAGCCGGGTGGAGGCCGCGCTGGAAATCTCCTGGGTGGGGGGGGGAGGGCGGGGAGGGGCGAAATTATTGAATGCATGGGTGAGAGAAGAAAACAGGGACGGATGTGTCGGTGCATGAGTGCGTGCGTGAATAAACGAGAGAGGGAAACAGAGTAAATGAGTGATCAGGACTCAGCTGATGAATAGGAGGGGCGAGGGAGCGACCGGCTGTGCGCGCGCGCGTGCGTTCATGGATGAGCGAGCACACGTGTGCGCGAATGTGCCCGGCGTGTGAATGAACGATGCTGGAGTGACTGAATGAGTGACGCGGGTATAGCTGTTTGCATTCCTGAGGGAATGACTGAGTTCGCATGCATGCGCTTGCATGGGTTGCTGTCAGGGCGCAGCCGTTGCAGGCGTGAATGAGTTTGTAAAGATATGCGTGGATGGATGCCCGAGTCTGCAAAAAACCGGTGACCCGCGTGCTGAATGAAGGCGTGGCTCTGTGAGCAAGGGAATGAATGAGTCGGGTGCATGAATGAGCCAGTGAATGTGTGCACGCATGAGCGAGCACTTGAATGGGTGAGTGACTTCATGCGTGCGGGACTGGACGAGTGGGTGAAGGAATGCGCCCATGAAGGAATGAATGGGTGTGAGGTGATGCACGAGCGTGCGAACGCAGGTGCGAGTGAATGAGTGAATGGGTGCACGGGTGAATGGATGGGTTGAACGCGCTAACAGCTGTGTTGTTGAGTGGATGAGCGGACGCATACAGTCATGAATGAATGAGTGCATTCATTATGCAGGAGCGAGTGAATGAGTTGAAGGCACAGACGGAGCGAACACATGCCTGGAGTGAACGAACGAATGAATAAACGAATGTGTTGATGCGTGCATATATGAGTGCATGAAATGAATGCATTTGTGCACCGCATGTATGTAAAGGCAGTTATATGCATGCATGTAAGTGCATGTGTTGCGTGCATGTAAAGAAATGTATGTATTGCGTGCATGTAAAGAAATGTTTGGATTGCATGCATGTAAATATATGCATGCATCCCATGTATGAATGCATGAATGGAATGAAGAAATGGGTGTGTCGATGCGTGCATATGTGAATGAATGAATGACTTAAAGGATTTAGGTGTACACCAGCAGCCCCTGAGCCTTCTGTGTGCCTGTGCCCCTGGCTTGGTCAGAGCCCTCCAGAGCTGCAGCTTGGGTAGGGAAATCAGCAAGGGGAAGAAATAAGGGGTCCCAGGAGGCTTCCTCAGGTGACGCTGGGTTTGGACCAGGGGCCACAAGAAGTTTCACATACAGAGAGGAGGAGGAGGAGGAGGGGGACACAGGGCACAAGGGGCTTCTGGCATCTTGAGCAGACATTTGCTTACTTATTTTTGAGACACAGTCTCGCTCTGTTGCCCGGGCTACAGTGCTGTGGCTTCGTCATAGCTTACTGCAGCCTCAAACTCCTGGCCTCAAGCCATCCTCCTGCCTCAGCCTCCCAAGTAGCTGGGACTACAGGCATGCGCCACCACGCCTGGCTAACTTTCTTTCTATTTATAGTAGAGACGGGGTCTCGCTCCTGCTCAGGCTGGTCTCGGACTGCTGACCTCAAGCGATCCACCCGCCTCGGCCTCCCAGAGGGCTAGGATTACAGGCGTGAGCCACTGCGCCCGGGCTGTATTGGTTTTCAAAGTGTGAGACATGGAACCCTGTGTGAGTGAGTGCACATGTGGGGGTTGCGGGGATGGGGGATGTTCCATGAGACCCAGAGGCGTTCCGGGTCCAAATCGTTTTCATGATAATCCTAAAACTTTAGTGTTGAAGCCACACAGGGGTGAGCCTGCTGGGGTAGTGGGATGGTTCTGCAGGGAGGTGGCCCTCTCTGGTGTATCTCTCTTCCCCAAATGACATTTGCAGAACCCTCAGCCAGTGTGTGTGTGCATGTGTATGTACATGTGTGTGTGTGCATGTGTGTGCATGCATGTTTGTGTGAGTTTATCCTCCTGGCCACAAAAGACAGGCTTTCATTCCTTTTTGACAGCCTGGTAGTACTCCACGGCGTGTATACACATCACATTGTCTTTATCCAGTCCCCTCCTTGATGGACACCTAGGTTGCTTCTGAGACTTAGCTACTGTGAATTGTCCTGCGGTAAACATACTAGCATAGGTGTCGTTTCAATATATTGATGTCTTGTCTTTCGGGCAGATGCCCAGTTAATGGGATCGCTGGACCCAAATGGCAGTTCTGCTTCTAGTTCTCCTAGGAATCTCCACTCTGTTTTCCATGGAGGTTGCACCTTTGCATTGTTTTAGCCTCCGAACCGTCAGTGAAATCCACAGAAGCTGAGAACTGTCCGGGGGGATCCCCCTCTTGCAGGGGGGTACCCCAGTTTGCTATTCCCAGGGTTGCAATCACAAAGAGGGAAAGTGTGGGGTTGAAGGTGGCCACTCACAGGAAGGGCCGGTTTTTTTCCAAAGAAGGGGAGACGTTCCCCCAAATCTGTGCATGTCTTCCTGTTAGATCCAACGGTTGCCACACGTCTGCACACCCACGTGTGATGATGGGGTTGGCCAACTCGTTCCACGTGGCTTATCCTGACTCCTTGCTGCTCCAGCGAGCAAACTGTGGAGTGCTGTGCTCCTGGGCTAGGTGACAGAGGGCCCTCCCATGGGGAGAGGGTCTCACGAGAGTGTTCTGACAGTAAGTTAGAAATGGCCCAGACAGGCCAGGCGCGGTGGCTCACGCCTGTCATCCCAGCACTCTGGGAGGCCGAGGCAGGCGGATCGCTCGACCGGTCAGAGTTCAAACCAGGCCTGAGCAAGCAGCGAGACCCCGTCTCTCTAAAAATAGAATTAATTGCCAACCAAATACATACATATATATACAGAGAGAGAGAGAGAGAAGAGAGAAATTAGCTGGGCCATGTGGTGCATGCCTATAGTCCCAGCTACTCGGGCTGAGGCAGGACGATTGCTTGAGAGTTTGAGGTGCTGGTGAGTTTGAGTGTTTTGAGGTTGCTGTTGAGCGAGGTGACCCCACGGCACTCGCTCTAGTAGCACAAGCGAACAGAAGAAAGAAAGAAAGAAAAGAAGGAAGGAAGGAAGGAGAAGGAAGGAGGAAGGAAGGGAGAGGAAGGAAGAAGGAAGAAGGAAGGAAGGAAGGAAGAAGAAGAAAAGAAAAGAAAAGAAAAGAAAAGAAAAGAAAAGAAAAGAAAAGAAAAGAAAAGAAAAGAAAAGAGAAAAGAAAAAAGGGCCCAGACAGATGCAGCCTCCCATACCGTGCAAGAGAGTGAGATTCCCAACCGGCCCCCTTTCTTGGGCTCAGATAGCTGCCACACCCCAGCAGGTTTCCCGCGAAAACCTGGCACTGGTGGTGACCCTGTTCCAGGCTGGATTCTCTGTGCTGGGGGCGTCCTGTGCCCTGTGGGGTGTGGGGCAGCGACCCCAGGTCCCCGAGGCCCAGATGCCAGCCAGCCGCACCCCCTCACCCAGCTGGCACAACCAGAAAGGCCTCCAGCCCTTGCCCAATGGCCCCCCGAGGGAAAAACCATCCCCCGTTGAGAAACCCCGATCTGGGGCAAGAGGCAGCGTTCTGGGTGGAAGGGAACTCGAGACAGTCCAAAGCAGAGCCGTCTGCCAGGCCCCAAGAAAACACATGGGAGCATTTCCACGCACCCCCCGCCCCCCACAACAGCCGCCACTCAGGGTCTTCAGTGTTCTTTCTGGGGTCTTTGCAAAGAGCAATGGAAGGTGAACGCGGTGCAGGGCCGGCAGCCTCAGGGCGGAGCCAGTCTGTCCGGGAGCTCGTTGTGGGGGTGGACAGGCAGGGGCAGCCGCCCACCTCACTCCGAGCAGCCTCAGCGCTCCCTCAAGCATCCTCTGTCCCTGGGCATCTTACCACGAGGGGATCACACCCAGCTCCATCCTGGAGTCTTTTTTTTTTTTTTTTTTTTTTTTTTTTGGAGATCAGTAGTCTCTCTCTGTGTCGCTCCGTTTGTTCTAGATGGTGCTCGTGTGTGCAGACCTAGTCTCTAT